ACACACACACACACAAGGGTTGGAAAGACGTCAGCGATATTTCTGTTTATAAATTCACATTGATTCAGCCTGAACAGATGCCTTGTTAAAATGAATCTGTAGCACAACTCAGTTTGCAGACGCACGCACACACACACACACACACACACACACACACACAATGCACCCAATGTTGAAGCATGTTGGAGGTCAGGCTGGTTCGACCTTATTTATTACAGTATTTCCTGTATTTATAACATGGTCCATAAACGATATGTCCGACATACACTTCATGGAAGTTTTATTGCTTGTACCTTCAGGGTAAGTGTGTGTGTGTGAGCTGTCATATGAGCCAGTGTTTGTCTCTCCCTGAACCGTGACGAGCTCCACAAGAACAGAGGGCATGATGTGTGATATAAACCAGCCTGTGACTTTCATGAACACTGCACACGCGAGTCAGGGCGAACCCACACTAAACCTGTTCTCCTTACACTGCTCTCGTCCCCGCAGACGCAAACACTACAGAGGACCGATGATGTTTCCCCATCTTCATCTTCAGTGTGTGTGTTGCTGTTTGAGGATGAAGAAGCTCCAGTTCTTCTCTATATCAGTGTCAGCGTTCCTGAACTCCTGAAACGCCTCCATTCAGTTCAGTTCAAGTTCGATACCTTTATTTGTCCCCTCAGTGGGGCAATTGATTTCACAGCATAGGAGCACAAACTTACAGACATAAATACACATAGTATAATAAATAAAAAACACATAGTATAATAAAATAACATAAATGCAAAGGAGTGTTTAAATCTGGTTGTTTTGACAAATGGGAGTCTGAGCAATGAACCTGATGGTAAAAACTGAAACTGTTGATGTAAAGGATGAGAACTGTCAGTCAAGATGGAGTTTGCTTTCTTAAACAGTTGTTTTTTGTAAAGATCCATTAGGTTTCTTGTGGACACCCAATAATTTTACTGCTAATACTAACAACCTTGTTCAGTAAGTTCCTATCCTTTACCCTCAAGGATTCAAACCAACAAACAAAGGAGAACGTAATAGTAGACTCAATAAAAGAACGATAAAACAAAGTCATCAAAGTAGAGTCAACCTGAAATTTAGATAATTTTCTAAGACAAAAAAGACGCTGCTGGCTTTTCTTGTAAATTGAGTCAGTATTTTTCTTAAATGTCAATTTATTGTCGAGAAAAGTGCCTAAATATTTATAAGACTGTACCAATTCGACTGTCTGACCATCAATCACTGTGATGTCAGGGGAAGGCTGAACACGTCTAAAATCAATGCACATGTCCTTTGTCTTTAAAACATTTAATGATAAAAAAGGATTCCTGACACCATTTTAAAAAATAATCAATCACCGGACCATGCAAAGTTTTAGTACTATTTAAAAGGCTCACTATAACTGTGTCGTCTGCAAATTTCAATATATGACGGTTTTCAAAAATGCTACGACAATCGTTTGTGTACAATATGTACAACAAAGGAGAGAGAACGCACCCTTGTGGTGAGCCAGTAGATGTTACAGATAGATCTGAAAGTTGGCCATTTACTCTGACTCTTTGTGTTCTGCCTATAAGAAAGTCCAAAATCCAACCAACAATGCAACCCTCCAGACCAAAGTTATCCCTTAGTCTCTGGATTAGTAGATGAGGCTGAATAGTATTGAAGGCTGATGAGAAATCAACAAACATTAAGCGATTACTTGGAGTCTCAAGGTGCTTGTAGATACAATTTAACAAAGTTATGGTGGCATCCTGAACCCCTCTGTTAGGCCTGTACGCGAACTGCAGGGGGTCGATCAGGTGTTCAGTAGTTTTCAACAGTTCAGCTTTGATCAGTTTTTCCAGTGACTTCATAACTAATGCAACGCTATGGGCCTAAATTCATTCAATGATTTGGCATGTTTAGATTTGCCAACAGGGACTATAATAGACTGTTTCCAGATTAGGCACCTTCTAGGACAAAGATAAATAAAAAAATATAACTAAAAATCGGGCCTATTGTAGTTTTGAGTTTCTTCCAGGACCACATCACAGTATTCATTATTATCATTCATCATGGGGGGGGGGGGGGGATTTCCCAAACACACTCAAAACGCTCGGCCAATCACAATCGAGCGGCAACCTTCCCGTCTCTCTCTTGAATCCGACATTGAGTGCGTTAGACTGCAGTTCCTCCACTGGCCACTAGAGGTGCTGCAGAAGAGACTCAATCCCATAGACCCGCATGTTAAAATGCCCGACTTTACAGCAGAAATAAATGTTTACACTCTGAATATCCAGAAATGCTCTTAAACTTTACAGTCTATGATCACAACACACTGCTCCAGTCAACCAATCAGAGCACAGTGTGCTTTCAGAAGGACGGGCTTCATAGAGACAGGAAGTAAACAGAGCGTTACTGACAGACTGGGAAGAGAGGAGCCACAACAATGGAGAATATGAGGAGAATAATCAACATTCAAACAGGAAAACGTGTTCTAGTAGAGCCTGAAACATCATCACGACCTCAGGGCTGTTAACCTTTCTCTCAGAGTAAGCACGGTTCACATCGGGCAGCATTGGCTCGCATCCGGAGTGGGGTTTAAGAGCACAGGTTGAGGAGGAGTTCACCCTGACCAAACGGATTGCCAGTGTTGGAGGAGGAGTGTTTGAGCCGGCGTTATCGGGACACCGCAGGCGCTGACGGAGGAACGCATGAAAGCAGGAGCAGCTTCGCTTCCTTTCTTCACAAACCACAGGGATCTACACAGATTATTACACTCTTGTGAACATTTGTGTTTGTGTGTGTGACGGGTTTAACCTCCTGAATTCAGTTTATCATTCGCATATGGAGAGGGGAAGCTGTTTTAAATAAGCCAATTACGTTATATGTAATTCAGAAAGTCACACTGACTTGGGTTTTTCTCAAATCAAACTCAACACTTCAACACATTATGATATTTACATTATATTTCATCATTTAGCAGACGCTTTTATCCAAAGTGACTTATAGCAATAGAAACATTAGCAATAAACCAGAACATTACATCACAATATCAGTGATTCTAACAGATATATTACTTTATCTTGAAAAATAGAGAAAAAATGTTTTTTCATATATATTAAATAAGCATGTTCTAATAGCTATTTTTTGATAATCCATATAGATTTATAAAATATAGAACCTTTAATTGGATATTGCTCTCTTTTATATGGAGCTTGACACTAATATCGGTTCTTATCTGGTTTCTGATGATTTTTACATTGGACACAGTAAAACAGGGAGAATAAAAAAAAAGTAAAGTTGTGAAACCCATATGACATTTTTATAAGGAACATAAAATACGATTTTTCAACACTGATAATAATCATAAATCAGATCCTCATATTAGAGTGATTTGGGAAGGATCATGTGACACTGAAGACTGGAGTAATGATGATAAATTCAGCTTTGATCACAGGAATATTACACTTTACTATATATTCACATAGAGAACAGATGATTTACACTGGAATAATATTTCATTGTTTTACTGTATTTATGATCAAATAAATGAGCAGAAGAGACGTATATACATATATAGACTTATAGATATTTAGTTGCATATATTCTGTATTCTCAGTGGCAAATTGATTTGCTTTTGGCAGATGTGGATAAAAGTTAATTTGGATTGGACCTGAAGGGGAAAAGGAGAAACTCGACCACTGAAGCTGTGAAAGACAAAAAAAGTATTTTTTTTTTTTTGGCTGAGAAAAAGGAAAGAGCATCACATAATGAACAACGCAGGAGTCGAGTGCCGAATAAACGCTCTGCAATTTACTTATAGTGGAAAGAAAAATCTGAGTGTGCAGAAGTCTTGATGAAAGAGACGTGATGCAATAATAAACATGCGGATCACTGGGGGAGTGTGTGTGTGTGGCGACCCATCAGCACACGCTCCATTTTTAGTGCTGACCAATTACAAAATGAAGTTGTATAAGAGCAACATCTGGAGTCAAGCAGGGCTCAGTGAACAGCTGGTGTGTGTGTGTGTGTGTCAGTTCCAAAGAGTTCACCTGCACTCTCTCACACACACGTACAAACACATATAGTTATTATGTAAACGCCCAGTACACACTTCAGTGTTAGACCTTCACCTTTGACATCATATGCCTCTATGATTATAATAATCATAATTCATCACATTTCCATGGAAGGGGGAATCTCCTCAAGCGTGTTATATTTAACAGCAGTTATTTCTGCTATACGCACCATTCTTCCCTTTATGCACATGTAAGTGGATTGAATCAGTGGCCACAAAAAAATAAAAAAAAATAAAAATGGTATGCTGACTGTAATCATTTCTCCAGGTCTCAAATAGAGGTTTATAATAATAATAGTTCTAATGAAAGCCTGAACCCTGAGTGGTCAATGTCATTCCCGAGAACTGTTTAATCCCACACAGAACAGAAGGACATCCGTGACACGAGGAAGCGATGAAACTGAGAATAAGCTGCTTTATCCCAACCTCGTCTGACTCAGAACAGGGACTATTCCACTCGAATCAGAAGAGATGAGAACAACACTAGCGGTCTTAAAGCTGTCCTCACACGCACTCGCCACAGAGAGAATCCACATGTGCGACACAGAACTATTGCGATGTGAGATCTGGTTGATCTGCATGAACGAGTGTGAATGTGTCCACAGCTTCTCTCACAGGTTACCCTCACGCAACAGTAAACCTCGACTCACTTTATTTGCTTCGCATGTCGGTCAGAAACTCTTCTCAAAGACGACACTCGGCATATTGCATGACTTTATAACACAATTGCAACTTTATAAATCACACAATTCTGACTTTATAACACGTACATAACTGTGACTTTACATCACAGATTCTGACTTTATAATGCTGTACCTGGCAGGCTGGTGGACACGTGGACCTTTCTGTCTTTAAGTGTGTGTGTGTGAGTGCTGTACCTGGCAGGCTGGTGGACACGTTGACGTGTGTGTGAAGTGTGTCTTGAAGTGTGTTGTGAGTGCTGTACCTGGCAGGCTGGTGGACACGTTGACCTGTGTGTAGAAGCGTTTGTTGGGCAGGAGCTCGGAGACGCCGTTGCGAGCCTCGACGCTGAAGGAGTAGTTGGAGTTGGGCAGCAGGTTCACGAGGGTCACAGTTCTCTCGGTCAGGCCACTCTGCTGCGGGACGAAGCCCACGCTGGGTCCACACGCCTCACACTGGACCCTCGGGGCCCTCGGGGGCCCCACACACCGACGGCAGCCCACGCTGTAGCTCAGGTCCCCGCGGCCCCCAGAGTCACTGGGCCCGGCCCAGTCCAGCACCAGCGTCGACTGCTTCAGTGTGAAGACCAGGTCCCGAGGGGGGGACGGGGGGCCTAAGGGAGGGAGAGAGAGAGAGAGACTCCATTTGGCATGAAGGTCTTTTTCTTCAATTAATTAAGTGTGGCATTGGAGGAAAAACATATGACATCATCAAATCAATGTACACAAACAACAAATTTGCAGTTAAAATTGATAGCAAACACACAGAAGTCCTCCCTCAGAGTCGTGGAGTGAGACAGGGCTGCAGCTTAAGTCCCACATTGTTCAACATCTATATAAATGAGCTAGCGAGAGCTAGGGATGGGTATCGTTAAGGTTTTATCGGTTACTACTCTTACCGATACCGCTTATCGATCCGGTACTTTAACGGTATTCTTATCGGTTCTTTTTGGTGTTTTTTTTTTTTTTTTTTAGAATTAAGAACATAATTAAACTCTATATTTTTAAATGTAAAATAGAAAAAGCAAAACGAAGAAAAATATATTTTTGTTATGCAGCAATGTGCAGGCTTTTTTGTTTTATATACAAAAAGGACACATAAGAAAAAAAACCAAGTAAAAACACAAGAATAAAATCAATCAAAGATACAAATTATATACAAAAGTGCTTTAATTTCAGGAAGGTGTACTAACATATCTTTTCAGGTAATTGTTTGTTGTCTGAAAAGAAATCTAATTTAGTAATCAAATATAAAATAGCACTGTATAGTTTATCATAGATAGATTAATGCTTATTAAATCTAAAGTTACTTATTCAAAAGCTGTGAGTGATTTTCTCTGCCTTTTGTTGTTTGATTTGCATTAATGGCTGAATCGTCAGCAGGTTTAGGCTATTAGACTGCTGCCCCTGCCACCGAGAGCAAATCTAATCGGTAACCGGTAACTGAAGCACCATCAATTTCTCCCTATTATTTACGTCCATTTAAGACATAATTGTGTTTAAGTGAATAAACTGTGTTTAAGCGAATCTCAGAGCTGGTCATTTTGACATTTGTATGTATATTTGATAGTTAAGGAGGACACACGAAGCCCAAAGTATAGGCTACTTTTCTTGTCTCGTTGCAGTCCGTTTCGGAGCGCGCACCGCCTTGTGAACAGCGTCTCTGCGCAGGCTTTTGTGTTTTTAATAGCCATTTTTTGATCTTGCAACAGTAGAAGACAGCATTTTGCAACAATCGCCGATCGTGCTGATTCTGACGGTACGTTTGGGTACAGCGCTCCGCAGTGCTGTGAAGTAAAGGAAGTTAAGCTGGACAGATCATGTGTCTTGTTTTTTAACGGTTTTATCTCAAATATCTTCTTTTTATAATCTTTGGAAGCCGAAATACAAAATATATTAGAATAATATCCCAGATCTAAAGTGTAACCACGTCGAATGTTTAGTTCTGTCCTCATTGTCACTCATTAAGCAGGGCTGTCGTGTTGCGCGTGCTGTGGCTTTGCGTGAGAGATCGCTCTCTCTCTCTTCTCTCTCTCTCTCTGCTGAACTGCGAATTTCAACTTGCATCACAGACAAATGGTTTAATTAAAATATAGTTTATATATAGAAAAGGCTGGCGATATAAACAAGTTCAAGATAACGTCTTTATAGGAATGATAAATAATTTCTCCAGTACCGACAGCAGAACCGATAACGTCTGAGCTTATCGATACAGCGGTCTTTCAAAATTCAGCACCGGGGCCCGTTTAATACCGGGTTTCGGTACCCATCCCTAGCGAGAGCTCTGGATCAGTCTGCAGCACCTGGCCTTACTCTACTGGACACTGAAGTCAGATGCCTTCTGTTTGCTGATGATCTGGTGCTGCTGTTTCCCACTAAAGAGGGTCTACAGCAGCATCTAGACCTCCTGCACAACTTCTGTCAGTCATGGGCCCTGGCAGTTAACCCCAAAAAGACTAAAATTATGATTTTCCCAAAAAGACCCAGCCGCCAAGACCAACATCATAGTTTTAAATTGGACAACATGCTCATCGAACACACCCAGGACTACACTTACCTTGGCATAGATATTAGCAACACAGGAAATTTTAAAAAAGCTGTCAACAACTTGAGAGACAAGGCACGGAGAGCTTTTTATGCTATCAAGAGAAATATCCAAATTGACATCCCAATCAGAATCTGGCTAAAAATAATCAAAACCATAATAGAGCCCATTTTTGCTGTACGGGTGTGAAGTCTGGGGTCCACTCACAGACCAAGAGTTCACTAAATGGGACAAACACCCAATAGAGACTCTGCAGACCGAGCTGTGCAAAATCTTGCTACATGTTCAGCGCAAAACCCCAAATAATGCCTGTAGAGCAGAATTAGGATTATACCCTTTTATAATTACCATTCAAAAAAGAGCCATTAAATTCCATGCCCACTTAAAAAATAGCGATGAACAGACCCTCCATCACAAAGCCCTGACCCACTGAACCAGAGAAGAACGCCTTAGGCCGATTGGTCTTAGAGCTCACGTCACAAACGGACAGTAAAAACATAGTAACCCCAAACCAAATAACTAAAACACAAAAAGAAAAATACTTCAAACATTGGACAGACGCAACAGCCAGACAGAGTAAACTGGAATGCTATTTGGCCCTAAACAGAACGTATGAAATGGCAGGATACCTGAGTACAGTGAGCGACCCAAAACTGAGGAAAGTCCTGAGCACGTACAGACTCAGTGAACACAGTCTGAGCATCGAGACAGGCAGACACAGGCAGACCTGGCTGCCGAAGGAAGAGCGACTGTGCCCTCACTGCACAGAGAACCAAGTGGAGACAGAGCTTCACTTTTTGACATCCTGCCCCAAATATGCAAACATTAGAAACACTTTCTATCCCCTTTTCACAACCTACCAGAAAGACTTCCATCAGAAATGTAATATGGATAAACTCCCACTCCTGCTAGGAGAAAGCCCAGCGAGCTCTAACCTGGCTGCCAGATACGTGAGGTCCTGTCACGAAGAAAGAGCCTCCAGCAGGACAGAGACTACAAACTACATGCCTAGAGACACTGTGTAAATATTAGTACTGAACTTTTTATTGCAATGTTTATCTCCACGTAAAAAAAACTAAACAAAAAAAACTTTACTTTATTTTTATAACTATTTACTTATTTATATTCTATAGTGTTATGAATGCTTTGGCAATGTAAAGATTTATTTAACCATGCCAATAAAGCTATTTGAATCTTGAAATCTTGAGAGAGAGAGAGAGAGAGAGAGAGAGAGAGAGAGAGAGAGAGAGAGAGAGAACAAATGAAGAACTTGTTGAGCTCCATTACAATAAAAATACTGATAATAATTCAATACCAGCAAATATTTAGAGATTAGGTGAAAAAAGAGATTGTAATGTATACAATTACAATGCTGCTTAAATGTATATCTAATGAGTGTAATCAAGGTATTAATCAATATTTGTCCTTCTAAATACCACATGAGTTGAATGACTTCTCTAGGCTTATGAGATTTTATTTTTTATAGACGTTAACAATGTGATTCCTGAAATGTTCTCTAATGTGTGTATAACTGTCTGAGAGTGGACTGAGGGTCTGACCCACGCTATGAGTACAGTAACGGCTCGCAGAAGTCAAACATGCACTCGTTTTGTTTGAGAAAGGTCTTCAGCGTGTTAAAATATCTATAAATATATCTGTTCTTTTAGGTGAAATTCTTTATTAGGTGAAAGAAAGATATTGTATCCTACAAGCAGCAAGATGCATTGATGCCTGTCACAAAAAGATCTGCATTGAAACAATTGTCATGCCAATAAAGCACATTTTGAATTGATTAGTGCGCAATAAATGATGCTTGTTGAGAAAAAAAATAGTGAAATGTTCATTACCACAAAAAAAGGAACTCTAATTAACATGACGATAATTACCACTCAATGAACTTTTAATAATTTAACCCAATTAGATACAACTGGGTGAAGCTTAACGGAGCTGGAAGCTTAGAGAGAGAGAGAGAGAGAGAGAGAGAGAGAGAGAGAGAGAGAGAGAGAGAGAGAGAGAGAGAGAGAGAGAGAGAGAGAGAGAGAGAGAGAGAGAGAGAGAGAGAGAGAGACATTTTGACATTTAAAAATCCCTTTATTAATTCAATTAACATTTGGGATTTCAATTCTAAAACAATTCAACATATGTTTTCTTCATGTACACATTAGAAAATGTTGAGATTAAAACTTCCATTCACACAAAAAATTATTAACACCCCAGAGATGGAAAAAACCACTGAACATTATGTGTGAGGCTGTAATAAGCATACTCTACCATTAACCTTTTTTTTTTTACAAAACACTTTGTCAATAAAATAGGATCAGTACACCCACTTCCTTCAATTTTGTTTTTTCTAGAACACCAAATTGCCAACTTCACCATTCCATAAAGAAAATTAAGGATGATTACTCTCTTTTTGTTATCTACTGTGCACTTTGGCCCATAAATGAACAATGAAAAATTAAACAAACCCATAAGCTTCAGACTCCAAACCTTCACTAACTGCATCAAGTTTTCCAGGCGATAACATTCCATAAACGTGTGAAACACAGTTTCTGATACATTACAAAAAGGGCAACCCTCCCCAACTAAAGGATCCAGTCGTGCTATGTGTCTGTTTGTGGCTAAAATTCCAGGTACAATTCTCCACTGCAAATCTCCCACTCTCTTTTCACAGGGTTTTTTGTACAGGGTCCGCCAACTACCACTCGGGAAAGAGCCTGACCCCAACACTAAAGTCCATTTGCTTCCTATTTGATCCTTAAGGTCTTTATAGTTCAATGTTTTGACACATGCTGTATATAAAGTTATTTTTGATAATCCATTGAACAACCCCATTTCTGGAGTATTCAAATGTAGCAATTTAACAGGATCTTCCACTTGATCATCTTTTTTCATCAAAAAGTCAAATTCCGGAAAAGTAAAAGGCTCTGTATCATTTGCACAAGTCTCTTTAAGAAATTCTTTGATTGAATCCAGAAGTGCAGCTTCTAGGTCTTCTAGCAGTCGGTTGACAAGACGCACAGACCTGAAACCAACTTTTTGGGCTAATTCTTCAGCTTCAATCCACCC